TCCTTTGACTGTTGTTGTTACTTTTTCATTACTTTGGCTTAAAATTGATATGAAACTTTTTGCGAAGGACTCCTTGCCATCAATACGCTTCATGTTTACTTTGCCACACACATGCAAACGCTCTGGATCCTTCTGTATGTCCTTCCGTCTGTCTGTCTGAGTGTGTATCTGTGTGTGCTCGTGCGATTGTGGCCAGTTGTTTGGTCGCCATCCTTGCTTTCATGGGTTTTTAATTACGGCAAGAATAACAATATCATGTGGTCGCTGCTAACTGAATTTGTCCAGGTCTTTAACATTCCACAAACACATCTCTCTCTTTAGCAACTCACCGAAAACAATCCAATCAAAACGATAAATTCAATTCAAAATGGAGAAATGTATGTATATTAAAACGAATTTGCTTGCTCAAATCAAATCTCTTGGGCTGATGGGCATAATTCAATTGCCAAATCGTTTATCTCTAAACTTTATTATCGCAGGCAACGCAGATTCCCCAGACATTCCTTCAGATTTGACTCATTGTCGGGATTGCTAAAATATAGCTTAAATATTTGATGTATCATGCATATGCCATGAGGCCCCCTGTCCTAAGAATAATGTAAAGCTCTTGAAAAAACAACCACTGAAAGCGGATAAAAAAACGAAGAAAAATGCAAAGTAAACATTGCGCATACGCCGTGATGGCCCCTGAGGTAGCAAAGCAACACTTGCTGGCAGTTTTCAGGTGGCATGGCAAAGCGCTAAACGCTGTTTGCCATTCCGATATCGAAAGTTATAAAGCATGAAATCAGTGCCAGCCACCGTCGTGTGATGATGATAACGAGGGTGTGGGAATTTCGGGGGGAATTTCGGGGGGAAATCGAGGGGGCGTCGAAGCGAAGGTAAAACTTGGCGGCATATTTAAATGTGGCTGCAGGGCAGACACAAAAGGCAGGAGTCGATGGGGTTGTTGGGTCTATGTTGGGGGGTTTGGATGGCTGAACTCCGTGTTTGCATTTCGCTTACAGGCACTGGCAGACAGTCAAAAATGCCGAAAATGTCTCCGCAGTTTCCCAGTCTCGGCTGGGTGGAATTTTCCACAAAACAGGAATTTCCCATTTGCAGTGATAATCAAAGGCCCGATCAAGTTCTAGGCCTAGGGCAGCCAGCCACTCGAAGATGAACTTAAAGTTTTGGCCCAAACAAATGGAGTTTTCTCCATCGTCTGCCTTTCTCGACCGCAGGCTTTTCCTCTTAATTTTCCGCTTGTGGTTTTTTATTTTTGTAATTTTCTACTTTGTGACCGCGGAAGGGGGAGGGGAAGGGGGGAGTTGGCAAAGAGATGCACAGAGATAGTTGCTCGCCTGTGTAATTATCTGCTTATGCTTCCCTTTTTTGCCGTCATTACTGTTGCCTTTGTGGCCATATAAAGTTGTCGCTGTTTTGACATTTTCCAGAAAAGCTGCTTAGGCAACTCCAACTCTGGAGCTCCAACCTGAGCAAGCGGAAATTGCACAGAGGCGGAAGTAATTGGCAACGGCATCAGGAGCCCCAGGAAAAGAGCTCGAGGGAAGCCCCTCTAATTTGGTCTTGTAATTAGCAAAACTGTAATGACCTCTTTCTGGGCGAACTCGAGACCAATCGAAATGCGGTCGACACTCGCAGAGCGAACCGAAAGTTGGCAATCTGTTTGGCTTGCACTTCAATTACTTGTTTCAATGCCGCAATTACCATTCATTTGGCCAAACATAATGTGTCCTTGTCAACGCTGCTGCTGCTCCTGCAACTCCTGCTGCAATTGCGGTGAGTCCTGGAAGATGCCTGCCGCATACACCTTGTTGTTTGCACCTTTGCTTTGGCAATTTACACATGGCAATGGCAATAATAAATCAAAAGTGAAAATGCAAATATTTTCCAGGCACCAGGCAGCAGACGGCAACCAGCCAGCAGCCAGTGGAACAGCCAGACAAACATCCTGCAGGAAGCTAGACAATGTGGATGTCCATGGGAGCGGAGGTTGGAGGATGGAGGAGGAAGCCTGGAGATTTATAGCAGGTGCAGTTGTAGTGGGGGAGTACAACACAGAGGCATCAATAAATAATTGGAAAATGAATGCTTTGCTTATGAGAGATTTCGCAAATGACCCGACAGACAATGGATGGAATATTTGATGGCACAGCCAAAAGGGGTTGGAATAACGCACAAGTGATGGTTAGACTAAGAGCATTCAATCCACTTCGACTGGAGACCAACTTCCGGCACTTAAAGTTAAACCTTCGCCACTCCCAAGTGGAAATCCACTGTGGACGCAAATTAAATTCCCTGAATCAACCGCAAAACACCCAACAAAGTTCCAGCATCAACTGTCACCGAATGCCACAATTAAAATGAAAATTAACAGGGAAAGCAAACTGTCAATACGACTGTCACCCGTGACAGCCAGTTGACAATTGCAAATGAGCATGGGCCCGAGCACACAACCCGTAGTGTTCCGGAATAACCATATTCCGGCGTACACATGGACATGGAGAGGCGCCAACGAAGCCACTTGCAGGGCTTCGAAATAAACTCATTATAGCAATTTATGCAAAATGCTACCACCGCAATTGAAAATCCATTTAAAATTGAAAATGCCACCGAAAAAGTGGGCCACCCCCCGCCCGGAAAAGCCACACCCCCCCTCACCCCCTCGATCCTGGCTGTTTGCCGTGTTGTGGTTACTCCCCCCAATTTGCCACCCTTTCCCTTTGCGTTTTGTTTTGTGTTGTGTTTGTTGAGCTGCCTTCATTGATGCATATGAATTCAATTATAAAACGACGTAACCTTCGAGGGTGTGCCCATGGTTGGGTGGGCGTGGCAGGGGGCGGGGCTGGCAACCGCGACCACGAACTGTTCTCTAATGAAACAGTTTTTTGCAAAAGCGGCAGCGAAACTTGTTAATTTTATGCATCAGACAATGAGGACTCGCAGGACCTGATACTGTCAGGGTGTCTCTCCTTCATTCGGAGTGGCGCATTTACATTTCCGGCGGCATTTGCATATTGCCTGTATAAAAATCAAAGGACCAGCTGGCAACAGGAGCAAAGGAACTGCAGTTACCATACACAGAACCAAAAGCATAAAAACAAAGTCCGGCTTCTGATTGTTTAGAAGCGAAAATACGTTTAATAGCACAAACAGTAGCATTTGCTCCCTAAAATTTTAAGTTGAGCTTGTAAAACATTCTTTTGTATTTAAATTATAATTGAAGATATATCTTCACCAAAAAAACCAAACTTTTCATAGTATATGACATTTAATTATCCTCATCAATGCGAACCAACAATATTAGAGTTAACTTATCTAATTTAAATAAACATTTGTACTTCCATTTTTGTAAACTAAACCTTACAAAATGTTTTCTATACTTATAAATTACGTATACGTTACGAAAGTAATAAGTTACGTATGGCTTTATGTATATGTTAGTTATGGAAAAGTTGTGTAAGTTAGTGGAATATAAAATATGTATAAATGCAGACCTTCAGATTGACAAATAAACAATGGAATAATAGAATGCTGTTAATCTAAAACATATATTCATCTATCTAACCTTCATTATATTGGAAAATCATACTTACCCTTGTAACCAATATTTTTAGTACATAAATAATCCTCTTACAATATATTTTGATATAAGAAGCAACTTGGTGATATTTTTTTTCAGTGAAATGAGAAAAAGTAAAAGCCCAGAGGAAGTTCACATTCTTGGTGGTCGAGGGGCGGGGCGCGTAGGCGTTCACCTGCCACCAAAAGGCGGGCGGCAGGCAACATAAATAACGGGGCAAAACACAAAATACAACACAAAAGGCGTTCGGCCGGGCAAGTCAACTGGTCCGCACTTGACACCTCATAATAAAATTAAGTATACGCCACTCGAGCCGGGCGATAGGAGCAGCCCAGGAGCTCCAGCTGCTCCTTCTCCTTCTCCTCCCTCTCCTCCCAATCCTCCATTGTTATTTATGCGCTCGCCAGGACACCCAGCGCAAAACACAGCGTGCAGTCGTCCTTCTTTGAAGTTTATTTGCGTATTTCAAGTGCGCCTGCCGCCGCTCATTTCAATTTTCCGGGCGCGCCCTTCGTCCTTGTTTTGCTCCTGTTTTAGTTGTCCTTTGTTGCCGTTGCCGTTGATGTTTATGCTGCTGCCGTTCCCGTCCTCATTGCCGTTGGCAATTGTTTAACTAGTTGGTGTCAGTTATAATGAATTTTAAATTAAGCTGTTATTGCTGTTGGGCCGGCATTAAGCGATCTTTCCAGCAGCAGTTTATTTGCATAATAAAGGACATGACTAATGTTAATTAAATTGCAGCAGACAACAACTAGTTTTTGGGCATTTTAATTAAAAGCGCAAGCGGACGGATTCACTCAAATATTCAAATTCGATGGACCAGCCTGAAAGTATGCTAGGGAAATTGAGCAATAAAAACTGCATAAAGTGATGCACAAAGCTCCAACTAAATTCAACTCAATCAATATCAACCCTAATTGCTTGGAAGACCAAATATTTACTTATTCATATCACTGTGGAACATCTTTCTTAACTAAATTGAAAGCCATACACTTGGCCACAAATCCAAATCCTTTGATATTTGTAAATCATACTTTTAGGCAAACTGAGCAAACAAAACAGAAAACTTTGGGCTCTGCTCGGAACCTACTTCCACATTCATTTGACTTTATTTCAAGCACAACATTTTGGTGTAATCTACAATCTATTTTGTGTAACAATCTAAGAAGCCAATTCAAAGCAGCAAACTATTTGCATGCCAGGAGCCAGGATCCAGGATCCCAACTCCATGCCGGCAGTCCGATTAAATCCTTTCAAACGACAAGCATATGCAAATGCCAAACAACCAGCCAGGACCACAGCCAACAACAACTTTTTGCATTACTCGGATTGCTGGCCAAGTGAAAAGGGAACAGGAGCTCGGGATGGGGATCCTTTGGTGCCGAATGGATGCCGGTTTTTTCGGTCTTTCAGCTCATTTGCTGGTGACGCCACGCAACATGGTGAAGTAGGAGTAGGACGCATTCAGCAGACTCTGAAACATGGCCAAAGTCATGGGGTAAACGTTGCCAACTCTTATCTGCCAGATGAAATGGAGCGCACCGCACCCGAAATGGGAATGGATTAGAATCAGGGACTCGCAAATGAAATGCATCCGAATTCACCCACCTCCAAGGGGTTTTGTGTTTGCATCAAGAAGATCAGAAGGGTTTTGCGAAACCGAATGCTGGCCTCGTACCAGGGCACATTGTAAACGGCCTCCGCCACTCGGTTGTTCTACAGAAAGTTATTAAAATTATAGAGAGTATACTCATTACTTAACTTGTAGGATCACCTCAATGCCCAGGTCATTGGCACGATTGTAGTAAGTGAACAGCACATAGAGCATGGTGAAGATATACATCACAATCGAGATTACTTGGGTCGGTGATGTTATCTAAAAGATTATTAGAATTTTATGAAAATCAATTACCTGAACGCAGAAGTGTCACAGAAGTTTTCTTAACTTAAAATGCTTTCAAATATACCAACATTTATTTAAGTATTTGTAAGACAACAATTAAGGTATAAAATGAAGTACTCTTTTACCTTTTTATATAATATCAAAAAATCATTATATTCTTGAAGTCATTTATAAAAGTGTCATAAAAAATGAATTTATATATTTTAATGGTGCTCATTATCACCCCAGAAATTTCTTTAGCACTCCCTAGGTATTATTTATTAAACCTTTAAAACAAAAAAAGCGACTTCTGTGACACCCCTGATATATCAGTAACCTACAATGTTCAGGCAAAAGAGCAGCGAGCAGATTATCGAGCCAAAGATAATTGCTTCGGCCGCCACAATGTTGGTAACCAGTTTGTTGAGCTCCCTCACATAGCTGAAATGGAAATGAGAGGCTTATAGATCCCACATCCCTCAACCCCCCTTCACTTTGCGGCTCACCCCATCACCTGGATGTGGTATCGAATGCAGGAGGTCAGCATTCGGAAGCGCACCTCCTCCGACTGCTCCACTCCGCCAATCTGGTCCAGTCTGTGCACCAGGATCTGCAGCATGGCCTTTCCGAAGATGGCCAGTCCGGCGAAGAGGCTGACAAACGGCATGTACATCATGGACAGGAGGAGGGGCGTGGGCAGCTGGGCCAAGTAAACTGCTTCGTAGACGGGCGAGCTGGTCATGTTCACTCCGGGCAGAGCCACGCCGAAGGGATGAGCTGGGTGGAGAAACTTGGAGAATCAATACGTAAAGGAGGAGTCTCTGTTCCAAGACCAGGGAATAATCTAACAAGTTTAAAAGTCATAAGGTCAATATATAAATTATTAAATATATGTTAGATAGACACTTGCCTTGTATTTTAAATAATTGTTTTTTTAATATTTAAAATGGAATCATTTTTTTAAACCCTTGAAAAAAATCACAATCTTGATGGACATTAAATATAGAGTAAAGTTTTTCTCTTAGTTTATATAAAAATTGATTTATGGAATAAGGGAAATACATATAAACTAGAATTAAAAATGTTTTGGAAAAAAAAACTATATATTTGGATTAACTTTTATCGTTCTATAAATTTTAAAATTAACTAAAACTAATAATATACCTTAATACCTTTTTGACTTAGAAAGTCGATTGATTTCAAAACAAACAAATAGTTGCATGATGGTCTCGCCTAATTTATCTAATATTAAGAGAAAATAAAAAAAAACTATTTCCTTTTGTTGATCTTAAAGCTCACAAAACCCCTTACTGAATATTATTAATCACGTCTGCAGTTTCATAATTTATCTTTAGATATTTACAATGTTTAAAGTTCAATTATATTGGTTTATTGGTTTATTTTATCTTGACAAAAATAACAAGCGTAAACCGCAAAAGAAAGTATTTAAGTAAAGTAACTTGAAAGGCTTACTAATTATTTTAGTCTGTAGTATTTCACAAAATGAAATCAATATGCTATTAACCCTATCTACACACTTCTAGAACACATGATTTAAAGCTCCACAAATAAAAATGACTGTACAAATAAAAGGCGATAAGTGATTAGTATTTATCAAAATGATTTGTAACACTAGTAAAAAATAAAATAAAATTTAATGCAAAATAATGTGTTCCACACAATTAAATTGCATCTTATCCGCACTGTAAGTTTGTATTATACAAGCAATGGGGAAATGCCTTTCTGCTGTTTTCCAAGCTGCAGTTTTATCATTTTCCTGGTATACTTACCCCTCTCCTCCCTGAAAAGTGGCGAGAGTAGGGCACCCACGATGTCCAGGAAGGAGGCACTCAAATTCAAGATGGCCAGGTGCCGCGCCTCCCGCTCCGCCCTCTGCAGAATGCCACGCCCCCACTCGTCCGCGGACTCGTGAATGCAGTGGAACAGAGTGGACAATTGGTCGAGGAACTCCTCGAACTGGACACGCTTGATTATGACCAGCCACGTGCGCATCAGGGCGTTGAAAATGGCCGAGAAGAAGAACATGTTGAGGATGAAGGCGGGCAGGTCGCCCCACATGCGCAGCAGGTAGACGAACTGCATCATATTCATCGCAGTCACGGGTAGGACGAAGGCGAACTTCCGCCAGTTTGTGCCCGGAGTGGGATAGAGCACGGCCAAGTGGCGCCACATCCGCACGTTGATGCCCACCAGGCCAATATCCTCGATTGCCATTGCTCCGGATTCTCGTCTAAGCCGATTCCCCCGCAGATCCACTTCAGACTGTGCCGCAAAGTGCTGAGCAAATGTCTTTTATTTCGCACCAATTGTCGCCATCGAGGAGGGCAATCTGTGGGGTAGCGATTGGCAATGTAAATGGATCTAGGAATGGGAATTGAAATGGAAGTGGGAAGTGGGAAATGGGAAGCCATTTGGCAACTGCCGTTGCGCAGCCTATAATTTAGCTAATTGGCTAATGATGAGTGTAATGTAATTGAAGTGCGATTGCGATTGTCATTCCCATAGGATATAAGAATGGGCTGATTGAAAAGCCTGCCAAGAGATTTGCATTTCAAATGATTGTAAATGCCCTAAATAAACTTATCTAATATTCCAGGGCTAAAAGAATTTGCAATCATCATTATTCTTGATCAGGACTGCTGTAGAAAACAAACTGTATTTAAAATCCAGAGTTCTGGTGCCTAAAACCATTTTTCATATTATTGGAACTACTACATACATATGTACATAAATATACTCTTAATTGAATTACATTTTTGTAAAAATGCCTGCAATGAAAATTAATAATAATATTGGAATATGCCGCATAAAAGAAGCTGTTCTGGGAAAAATGTGTAAAATATAAATGTTGGTTCTTAAAATTTTTAATAAAATCCGAGGCAGTGTTTAAGTGCAGCTCGCTATAGCTAGAATTTTTTAAATGGGCATTTCCAGTACTTTATGTTTATGTTTCCAATGAACATTTCTAAGTTTGAAATCTATGTTTCTTTTGTTCATATTAGACCCAAAAGGACAATGGATTGACCAGGGAATTTCCTTATCAAGACAAAATATTATGGTTAAACTAAAATCGATAGTTTTTACTATATTACACCAACAAAGTTATATCATAACATCTTTAAATATCGTGTGCTCGATTTTTTCCCAGTAACAATTGAGTCATCCGAACATTGCCTTTAAATTAAAGCTTTAGCTGTGGCAATATGTAAATCCCCATTTAATTTGGCCATCGATTTTGCCACGCTCCCAGGCTCCCAAGCCCAGGCCAGAAATCCCCAACCAAAAAAAGGTCTTCCATGCTCCGTCGCACAGGCAGTCAAAAAGCCAACGAGCCGCTAACGTATTCAGTCAGACACTCTGGGAAAATCGCGGGGTGGGGTGGAGGGAGGGGGGCGGACAGGTTGGACAGTCTGGAGCGATAGCCGGCATGACTTATTAAACAATAAAACCGGATTATCCGCAAACAACTGAGCAAACATGCCAGAGCCAAATATTTTGGCCTGGTCGCTTATCATGCATACGAGAGGACAAGCGAAAGTCCAGGAAGGCAGGAACGGAGTCCAGTTCAGACACAAAAAAAACAATATAAAAATCAACAAGCGACCGACTGGCATAACATAATTCAGCAACAATGCTGGCTCAGCAAATATGGCAAAGGAATTAAAATGGGAGCAGGACAAGGACTGCGAGCCACCAAGCCACGAAGCCACCAAGCCAAAAAGGAGTCCAATGCCAATGCCAATGCCAAGCCCATAAAGGCACACATTATGGCCACTTAACCGCGCGTTATGCCGCAAAAAGTCCAAAGGACAAAGCCGAACGGCAAAGAAGGTTGGGCACTGGCGGCGTATGCGCAATATTTTGTGCAAACATGCTCCGCAGAGTAACTAGGTGGGAGGGAGGAGGGAGGAGGGGGGAGAGGGATACGGCTGTGGGAGGACAAATATGCAATGTCAGTTACAGCTGCCCCATTTGGTTGCCCATACGCAGCGTTGCACATAAATCAAATGGGAGGCAAAGCTATTGTGCATTTCCCACACTGAAAAAACCCATTAGCTTCTTAAAAATATAGAATGAGATTGTTACTTAAAAATATGTTCTAACAAGAAGACAATTTGTGTAAGATAGTACAAATATTTTTAACTAAAGTGCTAGTTTAATTTTTGAATAATATAGGAATGATAAAATAATGTACATAAATGTTAAATTTGTACAGGATTACTTTGTTAAGAATATGATTAAGCTTTCTGAAAATTCAAAATTTAAGAGCTTTCAAATTGATGTTTATTAACAACATCAAGACACTAAAGTACTTACATATTTTTTTTACAATACAAAAGACAAAATTAAAGAACTTTTTTAATATATTCAGCATCAGTTAATAATTAATTATTGGATACAAATATCAAAATCATTTAATTTTTTTTTTTAAGAGCAATTAGAGTGTTGTTTTATGCTAAAAAGTTTCGATAAATCATCTCCAAGTGTACTCTTTAGGTAAATACCTTAGCAACAGCCATTTTCGAAGCACAATTTATTGTAAATTAAAATGCTAAACAGGGCAAATGAGGACATTTAATTATCACATGCTAGTGAGGATCTTAGTCGAGCCTTGGGTTAGTCTGGAAACGGCCATTACACACACGCAGACATCAAAGGGATAAGGTCGAAGTGGAGCTCCGAGTGTGGAGTGCCTGTTAACCCCATAAACCACACGATGACATTAATTACGAACCCGACAAAGGACTGGCATTGCCAGAGCCAGTGGCCACAGCATAGAAAGCCATCGGTGGAGGACCGGGTGAAGGTTCTTCGGATCCCTCCGAGCCGGTATAAAATTAATATCGAGTAATTAACAGGGCAGGATGTTGTGATTTAAGCAGGACCTACTCCGAACCCCTCGATACACTCGATTGGGTGGGTGTGCCAATATTGACTTTGGCACATTCCCACTGCCATTACCCGGACTCCACTTAGCCCTTTTAAGCGGCTTCTTGCCAATTAGGCAGCTCACTTCGCTGAGCCTGGAATTGGCCTTTAAAGTGCGGAATTGCTTTCGGCCTAAGCCCGGACTTCTTTATTGTTTCGAGAACTCCTTTGGCATCAGATGGTTTAGGCTTTAGTCTTGGCCCTGCTTGCACAAGCATGCCAAATGCGGCTTAGTTTTTGTTAACGATTCGCAAACATGTGTGTCACCCAAACCCAAGCCCAAACAAATTTCACCCCCACAGCCAGCACAAAAGCGGGGTTCGCTTTGATGGCATCTGGGCATGCGAGCTCCGTTTGGGCCAAGTCGTCACTTATTGACTGACTCGTGTGGGATGAACAACGCGCATGTAAGATGTATGAGTAAGCCGGCGTAGGAAAATGAGAATCGTTTGTTTGCGGATAATAAAGCATCGCAAAGAATGTGCAAAAAGATATTTACTCGGGGATCTCTGGGGGAAATAAAAGCATGATAACGACTTTGACTGACGATTCACACAACGGTACAAGCCGGTGGGAACTCCGGCGATCGAGTGAATAATGCAACCGTATTAAAAAGCCAATTGAGGTCGAACAATAAACAGCCGTATATGTATAAGCTTTCATTTATCTGGCCAATATTAAAATACACCGTGGGTATGTGTATACATGAACAGTGGATATTATAACTGAGAAATATAAACATTGTAATTTTGTTTGTTTAAAATAAACATTGAAAATATTTTAAAATTTGTTTAAATCTCTTTCCCATTTCAAATAACTTTTAAAAATCATAAAATTTGTATAACTTGGTATAGATCTTTTGCGAATAAATAAATGATAATTGATGGAAACATTCCACTGTACATAAAAAGTTTCTCTCAAATCTATATTTATACATTAAAAAGAGTGTTTCAGTGATTTCATAGCATGACTTGATTAGATGTGGGCACATTTCCTACGGAACATTTTCATTTTTTATCTCCGCGTTCTTCCGAAGGTCAAAACAAATGTTCTATGGCAATGTGCTACATATAGGTATATTTGTATTATCTAGCAACGTTTCGGTTGACTCTTTTAACGACACATTTATGTTGGTTCCTTTTTTCCGCTTTTAGAAGATTTTTTGATTGTTAGTTTTGCTTTATCAAAAATCTCAAATGAACATTAAATATAAATTATGTTATTCTGTTACTACTAGTAATGTAATTTATAGTAATACGTGTACAACTTACTTTTAACCAATATAGAAACTTTAATGTGAACATTCTAATTTTCATACCGATTTTCTTTCATTTAATAAAATAATTCTACGGGGGATTCATGAATTCCAGAACAACCCTGCTTATACCTACACATTAAAAGGAATGAATAAGAACACAATTAATTTTCTGTCTTATCTTTCATTGGACAATATATAAATCACTTTTATTTAGTCAAATATGACTATAATTATTGCTTGTGGCCAAGTGTTTAACTAAGCTTTAAGTTTGTGAAGATTAGGAGAATAATTACAAGCTATGATTCTACTTTGGTGCTGTATAGTGCGCTTTCTGAGATTGCGATGCAGGTCGTCGGACTAGGGCAGATTGCAGCCCACCTGGGTGACGACCTTGGCGGCCACGTTGGAGGCCATGCGGATGCACTCGCCCAGCGACCGCTTCTCCAGCCAGGCGTGCAGGAATCCGGCGACAAAGGCATCGCCAGCCCCAGTGGCATCCACCACCTGCTCCGCGCGCTGAGCTCTGTAGTCTTCGAAACCAACGGGACCGGGTGGAGCCAGTTCCTCGACGTAGTTGGTGATCACCTGGACGCCGGCACTGCCGTTGGTGACAAAGATGACCTTGGTGCCGGATTCGAGAAGATGCTTGGCCAGCTCGTCCACATTTCGGAATCCTCCCGCCGCCTCGGCCAGCGCTTCGAACTCCTGGCGGTTTCCGAACACGAAGAAGGCAACGCGGGCCAGCCTCAGCATTGCTTGGGGATTTTTCCGGACTATGTAGGGGGCACTGAGGTTGAGGGCCAGTCGCCGCCGCTCCCTCACCAGGTGCTGCACTATATAGTCGCACACCTCGCCCCTTTGCGGCACAAAGAAGCCCTCCACATACAGGATCTGCTTCCGTTCCACGGGTCGCAGGAAGCTCTGGCCCTCGTGGCTGACGGCGTGACTCAGCGTCTGCACCTCGAACCGAGCCGAGGCCCCGATGTTGGCGTACAATGTGGGATTGTCCTTATACACGAGACACACGCACTGTCCAGTGTGCGCCTCCTCGACGGTCTGCAGCCTGGCCTCGATGCCGCGCTCCCGAAGGATCAGACGCAGTTCATCGGCGTGTTTGTCAGTTCCAACGGCACCAAAGAAGAGCGCTTGTGTGCCCAGTTGCTTCAGGATGCGGGCAGTGTTGAGGGCAGAGCCGCCCGGATTTGTAAGGCACTGAGAGCTGGAAGTGATTTAATTCGAATTATTATATGTAGCAAGTAGGTATTCTTTTGTTTTTTTGCGACCTCGATTATTGTTAATTTCACTTGTTAAATTTCACAGTTGTTGTTACATTAAACAACGAACCTATGAGTTACATTTACAATGGCAACTCATGATAAATGTTTAAAATAAATCTTTTCTATCTCAGACTTCCTCAACTTAATTGAGTCTCTCGAAGCAAAACCAGTTTTCTCGCCTTTAAAAATTGGAGTGAATGCCCAATTAATTCTGTAACTGAAAGATCTCCGTAAGTCGATGTTTTTTGTGGACAATAGTAATTTTTTTAAAACATTTTTTTGTAGCTTTGACTTTAGAATAATTCTATTTGCATAGTTGAAACTTAAAATAAAACAACAATGGCAAGAAGAGGATTATAAATTTTATATTATATTGAGTCTATAAACAGATTTAATATATCATTTATGTCTCTTTTAAAGGGTATCCTTTAATTCGTTACCTTCAGCTGACTAAACTACACTACAATCTCTTGAACATGTATGCGAATATCCATAACTGGAGCTTGCTTTATGAGCAATAGGTTATTAAAACACCAAAATAATCGATTATATAGTTCTTGTTTTGTTTTTGGCAAATAGTAATTGGGGTTTTAGAAGGTCGAGTGAGTATGAGCATAGAAAAAAAGAGCTACTCACTTCTCTGAGGCTTCGGCGGCCAACTGGTTAAGTTTCTCCATGTCCAGTTCGCCCTTGGAGCCCAGTTCCAGGCCGAACCGCTCCAGGAGTTGCGGATCCTCGAGTTTGACCAGTCGGTCAAGCAGGACATTTCCGAAGCAGATGACCTTGCGAGGCCTAAAATAGAGGAGGAAGTGGGGAGTACCCGAAAATTAAAAGGGGATTCCTAGCGGATGAGCTTTTCCAACCCCAATAACTCACGTGTGGAAAGCCCCTTGCGTGTCGTCGGTGGGCGGTTCGCCCCCAAAGATTTTCTCGTACACGTAGCTCAGGTACTCCATTGTATGCAAAAATTAACGCTCAGTCGGGATTTTCGCGTTCTATTTGCTAGATGCGATGTGAACGGAGCCACGGTTGGGATGAAAATCGAGCAGAAATAATGGTCCGCGTCCGCCGCTTCTGTCGTCCGACGGAGAACTGAATGCTCGGGCCGGTTTGCCCCGGTGTTTTTATCTCGCTCCCGCCAGCGTGTTTGTTTTTTCCCATCTAGCCCATTTCGGGCAATTAGTTCGGAGCGGGCCAACTTCTTTTTTCGTTATTTTTTTAACGGCTTACAAACAGAAACTCTTTGTTGTTTTCCTGCCACTTCTCATTTGCTTGTCTTTTTCGACTTTTTTGACTTTGGTTGGCGTTTCAATAACAAAAAGAGCTTTCGGCACTGCGCTGGCGTCGTAGCCGAAGTTCCCCTTCCTGGCCACAAAAATAATGTGACTCAGCGCTCAACTAGAAATGCCATCCACTTATCCTTAATGACTTTATTGTCTAATTTATGCGACTCGGTTGTATTACATATTACATAAATTATATTGGTGACGTTTTAAAGTTTACCAACACTAAATTGTATATATAAAACAGCTGTTCGTGTGTTTTTGTTTACAGGGAAGAGGAAGCAACGAGAGCAAGGTGAAAGCTCAACCGGCGAAATAGAGCACGTGGTTAAAAAGCTTTTTCGGCGAGAGAGCATCAGTGAGCCCAACGGGTAGTTAACAGTGTTGCCAACGGTGGCGAAGAAAAATCGAACCGGTAATGGCGGTTGGGAATTTAAATATATACGTACTCATAAAATAAAGGTTCATATAAAAAAACTAAATATGTAAGTAGGAAGAATGATTTGATTTTTAAATAACAACAGCTGCATTTTATAATATGTTGACACTTTAAAATCAAATATTTAGACAAACATTCCCAATATTTTTACGGATTTAAAGAAACCTTAACTAAATTAAATAATGATGAATTCAAATATATTTAAATTTTTGTTAAATCGAAATATTTAATACAACCAGAAAATCAAATATATAGTTAATATACACAACACTCTTTCTACATATGTAGCAACAATAGTTTTTTTGTTCGTTTAGTTTTATTATTTATTTTAACTTTTAAATCTGAAATGGTCTTAACCTGGTTTTTGGGTTTACGAAAGAAAACAATCATTATTCAATTCTTAAACTTAATAAATTACACACATACCTTCAAAAAAATTCGCGCACATTGAAATGCTTTCTTTTCTGTTTCTGCTTTATTGCCATTTATTTTTGGCTCCCTTTTATTTCACAAGGTTTTTAAAACAGGTTTTCCAACGTGAACAGAATTCTACCATGCAATTATGTACATACATCTGCCCACAATAAAGCAGCCGGATCATTTCGCCATTATTTGAAATGCACTGTAAAATGTTTCGCAATACCATTAAATGCGATACAAGACATACAAAAATGGGAAGCACCTTTCCTGCATGGATCCCCATAAAAACCGATTATTCATAATCTCAAGCCACAAAAAAAAACAAAAAAATAATTCAGATTGTTATATCGCGTTTGGAGTGGGAAAAAACGAGAAGATATTCAAAAAAAAACCATAGCCTTATTTTAGTGGGGCTTTTTCTTACAGAACTCTCATGGATATTGGGGCTTTCCCAAAAGCCAGCGATAAATGGGAAATCCCCCAGCATATGTGGCTGCACTGCATACATAAATGCACTTCGATGACGAGATTGCCCCAAAAGAACTCGTTTCAAAGCGCGATGCTGGTGCACGTGAGTTTCGAGGCGGAGCAGGTGACCGGCATTTGGAATTGGTGGGACTGGCATTGGTGACTGGTTGCAGGTAGGACAGACTTTGGACCGACTTTTTGAATGCCGAACGCCGAATGCCGCTCAATGCAAACGCTTTTGGGGGAACTCTTGAAACCAGTTTAAACTCTCTTTTGGCTTTGACTCACTTTGGCTCTTCACTTGCCGTGGGTTTAGGCCCAGTTTATTGCTGCTCCGGCATGACTCAGCAGTTGGGCATCCGATGAGGTACAAAATGAACACTCTTCCATGCTCCGATCACTCCGTGGACTCAATCATAGTCCCCCAAGTCACTCCGTAACGCATTCCAGGGGACACAATGGCAGCACATGTGCCGAGGGCATGTTGCACACACAATTGGGTGGCATGTCAAACTACCCACATTCAGTGTTGCCCATCGAAACCCCAGCGAATAAAGCTAAAAATATCTGAATCCATTATAATGCCTTATTGATTGTGACGCCTGAATAAACCTAGATGAATAACTAAAAGTTCAAATTCACACGTTCCCTCGAGTACTAGAAAAATGTATATTTGCCGTTTATAAACTTGGAAGAATATATATAAACTAATTGCTGGAATGGCATGAAAATATATGTTGTTATATTTGTTTAACTAATTGAAATTGTATTTTTAGCCCGCTAAGTAGATTAACAAAAATTAAATTAAGAGTACAACTTTAATGTATACTAAGCCAGAATATCAAGTTTACATTTATAAATACATGTGTGAATTAGGTTATCAACTTATTAACATTTTTGTATTCTTTTGAGTACTTTAAAATAGTAGTAGAAAATCTAACAAGAAAACAGTGGAACTTAAATAAACTGTATATTTTTTAATGTGTAAAATAAATTATATTATATATACAAAATATAGTTTGTATGATTTAGAAATTATATATATTTTTATACAACCAAATATAAATAGCCGGATCTAGCTGTAAAATACCCTTGTTGTCAACAATTCTCAGGGCCCTTTCAAGCTGTATCTCAGGTTCAATGGCCACTTTTGAGGCGAATTTGGCGCGCAAATTCTGATCTGAGTCGGCAGTTTCTATTTCTGTTGCACCTTTCAGCACTTCCCCGTATGATCCATTTGTATAAGCGCCGCGTAAGCACGACAATTGTTTATGTTTTTAAAACTACGTAGGTCAGTAATTGGCGGGGGAGTTGGATGAGAAGACTGCCCACGGAAATATCCGATCTAAATCAGCTTATAAATGTATTTGCCGATATGGTTTTGTTGTTTTGCAACTTTGATTTCGACCAACTCTAGTGGTTCTTCTTCTCCAGAAAGTTCTTTAACTTTTGCAGAATATTTGCAATGTTAGGTGAAATCTAAATTGATTGTGAAAAGGTGGGAACACTAACTTTGGTTAGGTAAATGCAGAGCCCTATTTATAAATAGATTTCCGCAAAATAAACATATGACATGGAAATAGATTTATTATCTCATAGTCTCAGTTGGCAACAAGAGATTTTTTTAAAGACAATTCTCCTTTTTATGCGTTTTTTCCAACGAACTGTTGTTTCCGTCGTAAATCTTATTAAGTTACAGCCCCACTCCCCCAGAAATTTTGTTTTCATTTTTAACTGCACTTTCAGCAGTTTGTTCAACTCAAAAACGCTGTAAACTACAATTAAGACATATGTAAGTATCTTATTCCAGGTGCTATTTATAACTCAGGTGGTTCGATTCAAAATAAATAAATTATGCTGGCCCATCAAAACGAAGTTCGGCGATAAAAATACAAATTAATCATTTAAAAGTGCATTACTGTGCGGTAGTTGAACCCGCTTGGGGAAGTGAGGTGAAAATACCTCGAAATGGCGTAGTTTGCGGGGTTCAATTGATAAAATTCACTCAGCAATCTTGGCTCCCGATTTCGACACGTTCCCACGTGCTGATTGTCCAGCGTCAAAGGGGGGAATTCAAAATTGGTGTACCGCGATAAATTGATTAGCAGCCTCCATTGTGTTTGGCCACTCCGATTCTGTTTGTCCAACAGTCTGGGTAAAATCCCAAAATAATGGTTCATTCACTGTCCGTTCGTGTGAAGCCAGAAACAGAACAGAAATAAATAAAATTAACCCGAATCCATTTCGAGTGCGTTAAGTAAGGTCATTTGTTAATCATACGCCTAGTATACGTCGAGTATACGCCGCGTTGGTCGCCAAGCTGCGAAAAAGTTGTCCCGACCTGTTGCTGCTGGCCGATGGCCAAAATTTAGTGGTCCATTCACTAGATTCTGTGAAAAAGTCATCCCGAATATTAAGGAAAATCATTTAAATAAAATTTATTTGCAGATTTTTGCGCGAAATTTGATGAGCAAATTTCGTTTCACTCAAAACTTGTTTGCACATGTTTTTTCCACCGAAAGATAATAAAAAAACGAATCTCTTAACTTAAGGGAGCCACTTTCTCGCTGTTGAAGTGGCTTTTTGGGGAGAGCCCCTCGTTCAGACCCCAAAAATTGCATGGAAGAAACCCCCAACCTGCTAATTGCCTCCAAATCAACGGAAACCTTTTGGATCCCCAAAAAAGTCGAGCACACAACCTGCTTTGAGGGGAGAGAGAGCCAGAGAGCCGGAGAGCCAGAGAGCAACCGAATCGATAAGCGCCCGCTCCCGCTTCCACTCCCGCGTTTCTGATGAAATTCAGTGGAATTTTCAAGCGGCAGAGAGCGGCCACTATAAAGGCGCCCGCTCGCCAACTGAGGGCATTCATTGTGAAATTGCCACTCAAAATTGAAACAACGCGGACAAAACACGGTTGAAACGCAGAGAGCCCAGTGCGAAAAGAATTTCATAATCAAAAGTTAATCGAGTGCTGAACAAAAACAACAACACTCGAAAAACCCCCAAGACAAAAACAGTGTCAGCCAAACAAGTGCTACAAAAAGTGGAAGCCAGCGGCTTGAAAATTACATCAAATCAAACAGAAACCAAACAAAAGGATTACACTAACAAAATGGTTGTCGAGGAGACCTGCACCATGCACCTGAACATGAACATGAACATGGATATGGATATGGATCTGGAGCTGGACATCGATCTGGCCATGGAGTGCGCTCCCATTGGACGCACCGTCAAATCGGCCCTTATGAGGGCCCAGGCGGAGGCCCGGGTGATCGTGGGCCTGTCCGCCGCCATCAACGTGCTCTCCAAGTCGCCGGAGGGATCCCTCTTCTGCCTGATGGCCCAGCCCAAGGACGGCGACTCGGCCACCCACATGCACGAGGTGCTCCTGGAGGCCTTCTGCTACGAGAACGACATCTACGTGATCAAGGTGGACGATGCCACCAAGCTGAGCCGCATTCTCGGACAGGATTCGGTCGAGTCTTGCTGCCTGGTCCAGAAGGTCTGGGCCGACGCCCCGGAGGAGCAGCTGACGAAGGCCGAGAACCAACTGGTCGACTACTGCGAGGCCCACTGGGATGCCCCCCAGCAACCCATTGTCCAGCTGCCGGCTGTGTAGGCGAGTGTGAGCGAGACAGCCACATGCCATCGCATTGAACAGGCCCCGCGGACAGTGGGCCAAACAAGGTTTAAATCGCATAAAAATCAAAAAGAAAACCAGTTGCTGGGGGTTGATGTCCCCGAACGTTTTGGAGAGTTCCCGAGGGAATCCGGCGTTTCGGGGTGTTACCACAGACCCAACAGGCGTATGAATAGGATATATAGTATACGATATATATATATATATACCCTAACCTAACTGTATACCAAGGAGAGGAGGAGGAGATTGATAAGCCGGCGCCTTGGCGAATAATTGAAACTGAAAGGCGACCTTCGTGGCAGCAGAACCTGCAGTTGAGATCGAGATACCCGCGGAAGTTGCACACAGATACTCACTCACACACCAAGGGAGCAGCATTACACACACACACACAGAAGCGCGTGACCAGCTGCTGCATTATATACATACATATAGCCAATTTGTTTCTGTATAATTTTTTCGCTTTAAGCGTCGAGCAAATTTACTGATAATGACAATTATTCTGTACGCCGTAAATTGTAAATTACACTTATAAAGGAGATCAGCAAATTGCATGAAAAATTAAAGTTTTGTTATGTTAGCTTTTCCCAAGAAAGATAAAACAAAAACATACAAAAAAAATTGTTATTTAATTTTAAGCACAAAAATTAAATTGAAAAGATTTTTAAAGAAAAAAACAACAAAATAAAAATATATAAAAAAACCAAACTTTCTCTGCCTTATTCTTTATCCAGCTATTTCAGCAATCTCTTCCAGGAATTGAATCCGTCATTCGACGTCAATGATTGCAAATCCCTTGGATATGGAACAAGATGTCGTCGACTCATCAATCTTTGCATAACTTGACGGGGCTTCCCCAACGAGCGTGCCATGCATATAGAGCCCCCGTTGAAGCCCCTTATCAATGAAATTCTCGGAACCCAATCGAATGTGAACCACGCATAAACACTGAAATCGAGGGCGAAAATTGACTGGGAGATGCCCAAGAAGAAACAGAGCGATCGTTATACATATGAACTCCGAACAATCTGACTATGACATTTTATGACTCTTCTATGCAATCCCGTGGTCTAGCGATAACTGGTGTGAAAACCCTCAGTTTACCGAATTAATTGCCGCAATCACTGATCAGTGTTAAATTAATTTAAAGGTATAGGTCATGCTTATACCCAGAAAAAATGAAATGAAAAGTACTCGAAAATGGTGAAATTTATTTATCAGTCTAAGAGGTGTTATAAAAATCGGTCTGCGATCGTAAGTAGCACGTAATGGACTTTACAGCTTTTACTCTAGGCTCTAATTGTTTTATACAAGACCCACTTTGTTTTAGTCACGCCCCATCCCCATTGTGGCTATCAAATCGCAACACGTCCGCGATCATGGCAATTGACTTAACTAAGCAGACAGAGACATGTTAATATAATCAATGCCAGACATCGGCCAATGTTCATTTAATGGATGGACCGGGCCAGAAAAGACAAAAGATAGCTCAGTTGCTGAGAGGAAAAAGCATGTGAATGGCTCGTGCCGTGGGAAAATTACTGGAAAAAAGTTTGGCGATGATTAGGACTATTAGCATTGGATTTATGCGGTCAAGACATAGGTCAGTTAGGCGGAATGTCTGGACACGATTTATTTAAAATAAACAGATGGTTAACGCTTATTAAGTCAAACTTTCCATCTGGTCGCAACAAGAATTTGATGTAAGCTTAACTAAGAGGGGAAAAACATGTTTCAGATTCAGAAATATTATTCAATGTTCAATTATACAATTTAATTTAGGGTTAAAGTTTATTAGTCAACTAATAATATAATAAACATTTGTAATAAGCATTCGAATAAAATAATTTAAAAGGTGCTTTTTAAAGTCAAATGATTATTGTGCAAGATCATATGATAAAAATTGCTTGGGGACTCTACAAAAAGCTTTCTATCAATTTACTTAATGAGGGTTAAAATACAACTTGGAATCAAAATTATTATTCAACTGTTTATAACATAAAATAAAAATAAAAGTGTTAAGAGAAAACTTTATTTAGTGGTGTTTTTTTGTAATCCAATGATTGTTATGCATGGTCATATGGTTGGAATGGCTTGCGGATTGCTCAATAAGCCAACTCTATCGGTTTAAGGCGGTTTCAAATCCCGTTCAATGATGCCCTTACAATTATCACCCCATCTATTGTCCCAGAACATTAGAACAAAAGCAGGTGTGATATTCGCTTGGATAACTCAATTGGGTTAATTACCGACTGTTTGGCTAAATCCAGGTGATCAGTTAGCTCACTTACACAAGCGATTCCCACTTAATCATCGCCAGTATCTGTACTTTACCCGGCGACTCGGATAAAGCGTGAATTCCAAAGAACGAGCCGTGTACTCAATGCCGATTCGAAATCGGCCAAGTCATTCATTCCGCGTTGAGTAATGAGCCATGCAGCCATTGACTGAACAATTGAAGTCGGCTCTCGGCCTAGCTTTCCCCCCGAATCGGAGGAGGGGGAGGGTCGATGTTTTGGACTCCCCGGCATGCAAATGTGATCGCTTCATATTTACCCATTTACGGAACCGAGCCAAGAGCGTGACTTGACGGGATTCCGAAGGCGGACGGGAATGCGCAGAGTGCAAATTTCAAAGATTCACCTCCGGCGGCGGCGATGTCGTCGAAGGTAAATATGATTCATATCGATCGGAGCTAGCCCCGACCAGCTGGAAATTAGCATAATTCTCAATGCGAGGCATACGTCAAATGCCCGCTCGGAATACCCCTAGATACAGGTCCAAATCCCAGCCCCCCAATCACTCGACTTACAACCTGTTGGCAAACTAGTTTCGGATTCGTGCGACAAAGTCGAAGTATTCTCAGCTGTGTGGAACCATACATGTGATTGTCACGAGCGCGTGCTAAACGCCCTACGTTTTTCTTTGTGGTAAATCGATTTTAATTCGAGTACTCAGCCCGGATTAAAAGCAAACATGTTGTCTTCGGCTCAATTCAAAATACAAAATATTATTATTATTATTTACGCGTTAGCTGTCATTACAACGAACATTAAACTGCTCGGATTTCCCCGTAAGCTCTGAGTTATACGGAATCCCAGCGGCTTATCAGTGTTTTGAGTTCCAATCCCCATACGGATTATGCGGCGTAGAAATATCACTTACGCAGAACAATACTGCGCATGGGGCTTTAACGATATAAATATGAACATGGCATTTAGACGCAGTGGCAATGGAAATCTCCAGTCTAGAACTGATAAACATCCTGAATTTCCATATTTTTGGCTGTAATCAATTCAAATCGAACCACATTTGTTTACCACAAATCACTTTACCCCAAAAGCATTGAACTTTTCCATAGTCAGTGATTAGATTGATTACGATTCCCTGAGAAAAATCAGGGCTTGCCGGCTTATGAATGAATTTAGCCGCTGAAAAACGGGTTTTTACAATGGGGAAATTTTACAAATATGTCCCCCCTGTGTGCTCGGGATTTACCATGTAAGTAAACAAACAGGCCGGGAAATTAAACTTAAACCAGACACTTTAAACATTTTAATGATGTATTATTACACAATATTTGCCCTAGTGCCTCTTTGGGGTACTATTAAGCATGATTTCGCAAAATGTAGCGTGCGTTTGGTGTACTGATAAGAAGGTGAAGATTGTGTAGCCCCGTTTCCGAGTCTCTAACAATTTTGAGTAATTGAATTTGCTTGGATTTTAATATTTACTTTTTCCCAGAAGCACGTGCCCTCCAAATGAGATTATGGTCGCGTTCCAAAGAAAGCAGTTTGCAGCCTCGCAAATAAAGAAATAAAAATAAATCTGGGGATTTTTCAATTGGATTCCGTAGAATCATATTGTTATCAACAATGGCGGCCAAACATTATGGTTTCTGAATAATCTTCGCTTAGTCTGAAACATTGGATTAAGTGACCCACTAAAATGTCCAGCAAACAGACGATTATTTCACACTTGAACCGGTTCAGTCTGGTTTTTTCACATGATCAGCGAATTTCAGCAGGAGCACATCGCACATTTCGGTGGGAAAACTAATCGGAAAGGCAAACATAGTTCCATATAACAGTTAAATAAGTCTGGAGTAAAACGCAATTGCACTTGCTGATACGCCACACCCCCATTAACCCCAGCCCCCAGCGATGGGTTAAATATTTGCACAAACAAGTTCGTGCGAAATTAGCGCCACAAGTATAATTGAGGGCGAAATAGTATAGACAGGTACGGTCGGACTCCAATATTTAATTGCTGTTTATCGCGGCCATAAAAAAATTTGATAGCGCTCTCTATCAAAACTCGCTCCCTTTATAGAGCTCTATCTATTATTCGGAGTAGCTCTCTCTTTATGGGAAAATTAACGCGCATTCGTTGAATTTCACAAGAACCCAGACCTTTGTGATTTCTCTCATTCTTTGGGAATTCTCTTTACACAGATAAAAACTCAAGTTGTATTTTCATTTTTCCAAGCATTGATACTACCATATCAATATTTACTTAAGAAAAAAATTACTCTTTTGACTTCCAAGGCAAGGTCAAATTGTTTCAAGAGCAAATAGTGTCTTCTTTGAGCGCTAGAAAGCAAAATATTAGATACAATAATTATCACATCTTATAATACCAAAATAAATTGAAATTTGTATTCTTTACGTATACGTAATACATGAAACCAACAATGAAATTCGGCTTAACTTTGCTTACTGGATGTAACTTTCTAAAACTCTTTTTTCCATTGTAGGTTCTATGTACATATCGGATTGAACAACTATATAATAAAGCTGCCTAAGGAACAATCAACTAAAAAATAAAAATTCCCTAATTAAATTCCTTGTTTTTCAATATACATACTATGTACATACATATGTATGTACATGTACTTACGCATAACCATAGCGGATTACGCATATACGCCGGATTAAATGTGAAATCATAGTTTAAACATTTAATTCTAAGTCATATTTAAATAAACACAAGTTTTATTTTAATGAAAAAAAATTTATAATTTATCAAAGAATCCAATTTTAAGAAATCGGATTTACATTTAATTATTAACATTTAATTAAAATATATATGTTACTGATATTATTTTAAGATTTCAAAAATAAAATTTGTAATATTATAAAACTATAACTTCATTGTTTTTAAGCAAACATATTATTTGGTTTTTTTCAGCTGTGGGTCCATTAGATTTGTATCAGTGTACGATCTCCCTTCAACGCGTGCCGAATGAATTTGATTAGATTAATTGCGGGGGATCTTCAACCGAGTGACTGATTGGGGGCCAAGTGCACCTGGCGATTCGCCCGACGACATGCTCGAGCACGTTTCGGTTCGATAAGACTTACGTACGGTTCCACCGGATTCCTGGCGAGCTTTGGGGCCACAAGTCCTCCGTCTTCCTCTCCGTCTCCATCTCACCTGCTTACGCAAGTCGTGCGGCAATCCGCAGCTCAGCGTGTCGCCAGTACCGTTATTGTGCCAGACCAGAACTTCGATTCGACACCCATTCAGACAACCACCTAACTTCCACCACCCGACCACCCCCCACCGCCCCTCGAACAGCTGCGACAATTGCGTCAATGTCGTAAAACTTTCTCACGTAAGTCAAAAACCGAGAGTACCGCTATCTTGTCACTGGAATCTCGGCTTATCCTTTGTTGCAATTGCT